ACCGCACCGAGTGCCTCCAGAAGCGTCTGTTGCCCTTCCTGCGGTCCCACGGAGGCGAGACATTATTTTGGCCGGACCTGGCATCATGCTATTACGCGCGATCGACGTTGGATTGGTACAGAGACAATAACGTTGTTTTTGTACCAAAAACCGCCAACCCCCCAAATTCACCAGAGATTCATCCGGTGGAAATATTTTGGGCCATAATGAAGGCCAAAGTTCGAAAATCGTCCAAGGTGTTTAAGAACGAGCTGGAGTTGAAGAAAGAATAGATGATAGTGACCAAAAAGGTTGGCTCCACCATTGCACAAAATGTAATGAGGGGTCTTAAGGGAAAGGTGCGGGCTTTCAGCGATGGAAAGGAAATTGAATGAAGTAATTATGCCGAAACATAATCCATATGTATTAGTTCATTCCCTGAAATTTTCAAGAAAATCCAACTTAAAATAAAATTTGCGAACACTTTTGTCTGGTGCATTTTTTTTTCGAGTACAGGCCTTATATGTTGTATATATGGGGTTTAATCCATTCAATTGGGAGTTCAATATGCTATACTGAAACAATCAAATTGACATTCCATTTATTAAAATAAACCGTTTGCAATTTTTTAGATTTTTAATTGAGCACAGGTAATGGTAAACTGAATTTAAGATATATTACATAAGTTTTAGTTGAAAAGCACTTCAGTGTAGTGTATCACAGATTAAATCGGAATACATCGCACGAACTTTCAAATTGCATTTGTTATTACAGATTAAATCGTATATGATGTAAAATCAACTAGTTTAAAAATAAATTAAAATGAGCACGCATATAGCATCCGCTTTTGTGCGAATAAGCCATTTTTTACATTCTTTACGATTTGTTTGTTTGTAAATATATTTGTATATCATAGAACAACTTTGTACATACGCGCATTCTAGTTGTCTGGGTTGTCTGGGTTGTCTGGCATACTTCTGCAACATAAAGATGTGTGATATCAGGTGTACTTTGGTATCTGAAGATGTTTTGCCATGACCAGGGCGACACAGTATCAGCTTCAATCGACAAAATCAATGCGACGAAGAGACTACTAGCTTTCTTTTTCTGATGAAGTCGAACAGCTTCGCAGCATTCTCACACCTCAGTCGGCGTCTACAAACAAATTTTCAATCGCTTGTCTCTCTTTCTCCCGTCTCTTCAATCGTCTTTCATTCAAGAAAGCGGACGAGTGAAAGAGCACTCGACTTTGATAGTCTCGTCTTTCAATCTAGGCTAAAGATACATATTTATAGCATGAAAACACTTGAAGATTACACGAAACATGTTCAATGTATCTTCCATCCACATATTTATCTAAATAAAGTAACGAAAATGAGAAATAACGCATATTAAACAAATTGACAGAGCAGATGACAGTGTCGGTGCATGGGATTGAAAGGGGTGAGCAAAGCAACGACGAAAAGATCCACAGCCAGCCTTTTTTTTTTACGTAGGACTACGTCTGTGATTTCTATATGGGGGTACACTTTGTGAAAACCAAAAATAAGACATATAACGAAATTATGAAAGGTTTTGAATGTTAATAACTCAGCTGCCCCTAGACCAAATTCAATAATTTTATCACCAAACGATCAGAAATATTTCTACGCATCGATAGCAATGTCAATTAGTAAATTGGCAAGCATTGCTCAAAAGCGTCGAAATAACTAACAAATCCACCGATTACGTACACGACTATGCTGCTTCCCCAAAACAATCATCAGTGAATCGTTTGTAGACAAAACATGTCGATGTAGCATTGCACTGTCATCATTCGTTAGTAGACGAAACAAGTCCGATTTTCGGGCGTGTGCGAATAGAGAGGATGCAATTGCGTAACATTTTGCACACTCATCGCCATATTCAGCACCACACGCCCCCAACGACAACACAAAATGCTCTCCAGAGTTGTAATCTTGTAACCAAACTTGGAAGCAGGGGTGCAAGTGTTTTTGATCGATTCTCTTCATCCACTTTCTGTTGCATTAATAACTCGACGACAAACACATTCATTGATACATTTGTTGTTCTGGATGATAGAAGAGAAAAGCACAGCAGAAAAAGTGCGAAATAGGTTAGAGAAGCCATGGTCATCAAAAGAGGAAATCGATGAAGAGAATTGACTTTCACCCCTGTGATTCTAAGCCCCTTTTTTATGATGGTCCCACCTCTTACTCCTACAAAGGTTTGAGCTGGACGATTTATCTTTAAGATAATTAAATATGACATTTTAACCAGGTTGGCAAACAAAATCGAACTGGTTTCAGTTACAGATATAAATTCCCTCTAGAGTTTACAGTTGCTTCACAGCGATATTCAGCCGTCATCATAGCAATGAAAACTAGCATTGCACCGCTTTTGGTTCTTGGGTTACACTTGCTGGTTGCAATTTTGCTCATCGACATTTTTGAAGGACCCCCAAAAAACATGAAATAACACTATTTTCTTGGGATGCCTAAAAGTCCAATTATTCACTATTTTCTAGGAATGCCTAAAAGTCCAAGATTTTTCCAGCTATTCGAATTTTAAATTATTCGAGCGCGTAACCGATATCCATTCTTATTTCTGCTCGTTTGATTAAGCGCAGTAGAGAAAAAAGGTTATAATTTATCTGAACAGGCATAGAGAAGAACCATGACGTGAAACAGGACCATAAATTCTCCGAAAAAAGTGTTAAGCGTCTTTCTGCTAAAGACTAAGATTTATCAACTTTTTGAGAGAAGGATTTTAACGAGAAAAACTAAAAAGGGGAGGAGCTTTAGCTAGGTGGACACTGATATTCTGCGGCCTTCCAACCTTTCGCAGACACCAGTTCAATCCCTGTCCAGCAGCAGACGGGCCGAGACTCTGGCGAGTGCCCAATCATTGAACCGAAGAATATGGGATTGTCCAGTCCGGTTTGCTGATCCAGCTGCCTACACGTCATCATCATCTTCCAAAGGCTTCGACCATCGACCCTTTTCAGGGCCATCATTATTTTCCAAAAGAGTTAAATTTCCTGTTCCTCTAGTTTTAAGTAGTCAAGACATCCCATAACGTACCACGAAAATGTGATCTACCCACGTTACGGGGCACAGCCAGCCTTTGTTCTAAGCGTGCTTCTTTTCATTCTCGTTTCGTGACTGATAGTCTAGCTTTACGTTATAGAAACGATACGTTATACACGTTGTACGAAAGAAACAAATCTCGAGTTCATTTGAGAGCTTCAACAATGTAGATCCCTGGACATGAATAACATTAGTGAGTTTCCGAAAGTTGGAGGATTGAGGAACCTTATTATGAATAATAAAGAAACTAATATTCTAATTTCAAAAATGTAATGCTAATTTTAGGATTTATTCAATAACCGCCTAATTTAAAAAAAAAATAATAAATTGTTCATTTTAGAGATAAACTTCTTAACCATTTATTTTGTTACCAATATATTATTGAATGGAGCAGTAAAAATAATTTGGTTGTGCTTTGAACACAACCCTTATTTTTTCCAGAGGAAAGATAAGTGCAATTTCCAGCATCATTGAGTATTTGCGTTTTTCTTCATTTCTTTGAATAGACGCATTCGGTTTTGTTTGAAAAAATATACAGCAACAGACAACCGGTCTTAATATTGATGGGAAATGTTAAAAGCAACCAGCACTCAATATTCGTTCTATTATGCTTACTTACCTTTTGTGTGTTCTGCGGCGACAAAGTTTGCTCTGACATGCGGGATTCAAGTCACATTCCATCGCACCAACCACAATCACTTCACTTAACAAAGGGCACAGTGCACGATGGTTTAAAACCTTGAAAATTGTCGGGATTTTTTTTTTCAACACCGTCAATACAGCCTACATTTGGAAAGAGTTGATCCGAGGGAACCTTCCTTTCAAAAGTAGTCGTTCTCATGTTATTAAAAAAAAAACACACACATTTTCGAGAGTTTAAACCATAGTGCACTCGTAAGCCCCCTAACTATGTACGTATACAACTCGGCTCTCGGTGCAAGGTTTTCCATAGAATATGGTTCACTCAGTTTTGAAAACAGGCATCAGTCGGACTTGAATGCGGTTGGAACAATATCCATTATAATGATTACGACAATGCTTCACCTCCAGCACCAGCATGTCTCATTTTATTTTTCCGCTTGGATTTACTCACTCTTCTTCGTATTCATCTTTCATTCACATTAGGTTCGGTGGTACGTTTGTCCACCCACATCCACCCACCGTACTTGTTGTGTACAATGGAACCGAAAGCCGGCCCGCAAGCCGAAAGTGGCAACACAGTACCACCCCCAGAGAAGCTCCGTTTGGGAAATAGGGAAACTGATTCACCCCGTTTCCACCAACATCATCAGCTGGTCGTCCCCGCTGGTGCAACAACACACTATTTATTTTCCCAGCTTTTCATCTCTTGTGCACGATTTTCTCCCTTCCATCAGCAAAAAAAAATGCATACACCGAGTGAGGGCGAGAGTGCTACGTTATCGTGTATACTTGTACTAGACACATTTTCAGCCATCCTTTCATCAGAGGATGCAAATAAGGCTTCGTTGGATCCGGGACACGAAAAGAGCGAGTTCACTATCCTTCACTTTGCTTCATGTCTCCCTCGCAGACCGTTGTGATGAGTTGGTACATGTGACAAGCAAAACAATCCCCTTCCCATTATCACCTCTACCATGGATGATGAACGACATCAACCACGACATCCCATCCAAGAACACAAACAAAAAACAAACGGAAAAGCACCCAAGAAAAAATAAAACTCTGACAGTTAAAGCTAAATAATAAAGCTTTATTTACTCAGTACCACCAGTCTGTGTGCCTTCATAAATAATACACAAACCCAGCACAAGCCTAATTAAAACTAAAACATAACAAAACCATACGCAATCAGAGTATAACAGTACAGAATCCCAAAACGAAAAAAAAGCAAAAAGCACTCTCAGCTGTTTGCATCAACTTTGATAGTGCGGCGGCATACACTCACTGTACCTATCTCTTAACAAGCACCACACACGCACCTAGCGACCACGGCACAATGCAAAACTTTTCCTTTCACAATAGTTATTTCAGCAGTTTATTCACGCACACATCAAGCTTAGAATCGCATCAGCTGAGAAGTTTTTCCGACTTTCCACCCCCACACACTGACTGGACCCAGCGGACTGGATTCAACCACACTACCAGATCCCCAGGTGTAGTAGGTCTGTACCAAAGCAACGCAGCAAAAGCTCACCAAAAAAGGCAAACGAAGCGAACGGCGGTCGGAACCAAACTGAACAACGGATGCCGATGGAGTCTGGTTGGGATATCGTGTGTCCCACCACAGACAGCTCCCAGCCAGCTGGCTTGCTCTCGGGTCGTCCTGGCATTCGGGAGCTGGCATTCGGTTTCACTCTCCGGTCTCTCGGTTCGACGAGATGGAGTTTTTGTTTTTCCTTCGAAGAATTTTCTCACGGTAATCTTACCGAGTGGTATTTTACCGAATGAAGCTTTGGAAGGCGAACATGTGGGCTTGTAAGAAATTTCACTACAGGAATCTCACCCACAATGTCTTCGTCCACCCGCCGCAATTTCTCGACTGTTGCCCAACCAATTGCGCTGATTTTCTGTAGGTGACAAGATTATGATTGAGTGGTAGTGGGTGTGTGACTTAATACTTAGTGTGACTTAATACTTAGTGACGTTTATTGGTTCCAATCTTTCGTTTTAAAATAAAGTAAATGGATTAGGGCTTCCTATAAATTTGCTCTCGAGAAACCACAGTACCCAATCGATTTTGGCACGGTTCGATTTTGACACGGTTCGATTTTGACAACAAAACCGTTAGTTTTTGGTAGGGTCGATTTTGGTACCATGGCAAAATCGAACAGTTTAAACAATATTAAGATTAATAAATGTTTACATATTGAGTTTTTACTAGCAGATTAATGCTTAAAGTCATAGAGCAACATTTTGTTTTAATTCATCAATTACCACTACCATTGGAACATTCCATGTCTAACTTCCAATTAGTGTTTCCTACACGCAGAAAAATGGATTTTTGTTTCAGGGCTTAACGTATTTTGTTATTGATTCAAACATATTGTATCACTATTTCAACAAAACATATTTTTGAATCAACAAAATGGTTTTTAGAATCAACAAACAGAGTATTGACTCTACAACCGGTTTGTTGATTCAAAAATATTTTTCTTTAAATTAGCCGAATAGGTAATATATTTGAATCAATACCAAAAATATATTAGGCCCTCAGCCAAAAATATATCCATTTGAATTTAAATATCATTTCTCTGCGTGTACCCGTGTCACCCCGAGAATCTATTCCTGAGAAATTGTCCGAAAGTAACGTTTCCTGATTCCCGGAAATTAGATTAGGTTTGCTGAGAAATAGCTATTATTTCACAAAAGACATCCTAAGCATAAATTTATAAATAAAAAATAATCCACACCCAATGCCAAAACATTTTGGGAGTGGGGAGTACAAAGTAAGAAGAAATTAATTAAAGCTGGAAGGAACTTTCACGGGAATATGAAGTAAAATTCCAGGATGAGTTTGAAGGAAGACAGAAGGCAATTCTGGCATAAAATAAATGTTAATTTGGAGGAAACTGGAAGAAACATTCTGAGACAATTAAAAAAACTGGTAAGGAAAGTTTGGAGGAACCTGCGAAAACAGGCGGAACACACTTTCAAAAGAATTCAGAATGACTTTATGGGGGGATTTGGAGGACAGTCCCAGAAAAAAAAATTAAAAGAATCTACCGAGGGAAGTGAAACGAGACTTTCGAGAATAGTTAGCTGCAACTTTTAGGGAAGTTGGAAGACTTTCATTACAGAGGAATCCAGAATAATCTCGGAGGATACTGGAAACTAAGTTGGGATAAACCTACACACTACGAAAAATACATGTAAATTTCAGTGCCCTGAGACCGACACATGCAAGCGGCCCTTTTTACATAAGAATCAGTTGAAAAGGACGAGAAAATCAATTCAATCAAACGCACTTTTTGTCGAGTTGCATATGTTTCAATTTCAGGACACTTAATTTTACAGGCCATGTTTGTTTACGTTCCATGATTTACGTCAAAGCTGAATTACGTCTCGTGTAAAAGTACACACTTTTTTTTCCTTGATTTGTTTTCCGTCGATCTTGTTTTCCGTGCTGAGCACCAATGCTACCGACGCCATGAAGGCAGCTCCCACTCCTGGACCCTACCTATCGACCCATCAACTCATGAACCGGGGACCAATGGCTTTACTTCCCTTCCGAAGGAAGGCGTGATCAGAGATGTTATGCCTCAGAACATCCCGGCGGCGCCTACTGCACACTTAGAAATTATTATTTTTACACGAGACGTAATTCAGCTTTGACGTAAATTATGGAACGTAAACAAACACGGCATGTAAAATTAAGTGTCCGGAAACCGAAACATATGCAACTCGACGAAAAGTGCGTTTGATTGAATTGATTTTATCGTCCTTTTCAGCTGATTCTTATGTCAAAAGGGTTACTTTTTTGTAGTGTGGGATTGAACCCAGGCCTGCTGGGGTGAGAGGCAATCACGCTTACCACCGACGCCGCTAAAAGTACACACCTAGAAATTATTATTTTTGTGGCAATGTTGGGGAAGGTTCGTGATTTCCGCTAAAAAATTTAACCGGTGGGAAAATCAAATGTGCACTGTAACTATGCTGAGTGGGGGTGTGAGCATCGGCTAACACTCCAGTTGATTCTTGCACCGAACTTTTAGGTTTGCGCCTTACCGCCACTAGGAGTCACTTCTTTTTTTTAAAGGCAACACTTTGCAACCTTGGATTTGGATTTATTAAACTATTAACTTGAACAGCAAAAAAATAATTTTGGTATCACATCAAAGTGGATGCACTACAATCATGTCGAAAATTTCATGTAATTTTTATGACCACATAAATAAACAAATTCAGTAAAAGCAGCGTATTTAATATCAATTCATGCATTGTATTAATGATAATTTTGTCCTTTTTAGCAAGTAATATTACACCATATTTTCGACATGATTGTAGTGCATCCACTTTGACGTGATATCAAAATTATTTTTTTGCTGTGTGGGATACACTTTAGGTCTGGTTTTTTGGATGGCTCGTTTTGGAAAGCCAGCCATTGATTGTAGTCGCCATCGAGCTCTGGCAACAAAATGGTGGGAAGCTTGATGCCAGATAACCCAGCAGGGCAGGGATTGCGCTTTGAGTCGGTATAGGATTGGCGGGTAAGGAGGATCGCAGAGCAGCCATTACTTTGAAGTATAGGGATTCGAATCTGTAACGGGTTTGGTTGTTCTGTTCCCTACCTTCATTGGTGGTCTCTTCATCTTCAATTTTCGACTGAACATCCTCCAGTTCCGTCCACACGTCGTTAAGGTTCTCGATGCGTAGCTGCACCTGAGCTTGGTCTCGATCGGCCTGGTACTTTGAAACGAACTGATCGGCTGTTGCTGTTAAGGCGGTGCGACGGTTCGTTACACAGAAAATATTCTGAATGTTAACTATCGCGTAAAATCTCCCTTCGTTTAATTTTGAGCTTTACTTGGCATAAACAGTGGAATCGTTTACAAGCTTGCATACAATATTCCAAATTTATGCGATATTGCACTCAAATTTACACGAAATATCGCGTAAAGTTATGCCAAATCTAGCGTTAATTTTATGTGCACTATATCTCGCAGAAATCTACATGAATTTTTCGAACGGTGTAGTTGTAACATCCGTTGTTCATCCATGGCGGTGCGGTTGGAACGCGATGTAGCAAAATGGCGGTTCTAGGTGGAAGACACACAAAAAGGACCCGGTAGAACCGAACGAAAGGATTGGGATGGTTGGAATACTGCTAACCTTTTCAAGGCTAGGATAATGCCTTGTATTTTATTGATAGAGCACCTATGATTGCAGCAGGTCAGCGAGTGGCAGGATGGCGGAAAGGATGATAACGACGGCGGTAACTTGTTGGATGTTTTTCTTGACGGACGGGGGTACTCCGTTTTACGGTACACTGGATGGTGGCACTTCGCTTCACAGTTGGAAATCCTCGATGAGCGGACGGAATAGCGTGTAAAGAAAAACGGAAAATCTCAAGGCACCCGTGGACAATATCTGCGCACTATGGAATTACACGTACCATGTGCCTGAATCAAATAGGCCTTGTATTAATTAAATCTGGAACAGCAGGAACGTATTTCAATATCGGATTCTTATTCGGCAAGGATGGCGTCGGTTGCACTTGGAACGATGGCAGAAATTCAATAGCTTTAATTTTGTATGATGCCGGTTGGCGTCACTCGGCACGCGAACACAATGGCGAATTGGAAACCGAATCCTGGTCACGGCACCAAAAATAAGACGCAGAAATTGGCATATCGAGCGCTTCGACAATCTTTGCGTGCAGCTGAAAGTTCCAACCGTGGTATCGATAGGCGTTTAAGTGGAGCGACTCTGGATTTTGCGGAGAGCAGCTGGACGTGTACTTGGCCAACTTGGGTAAAGTTGATCTGGCGTAAGTGCATGCACCGTAAGCTTGCTCGGATGCATCAGCAAAGGTGTGGAGTTGCACAGTAGCGTTAGGGAGAAACACACATCGGCTTACTGCGTAGGAGGATAGCTTCGGCAAATCGGAGCAATAAGCTTTCCATTTATCGTTGATGCTGTCGGAAACCTGGTCATCCCATCCACATGGGTGTAGCCATAACTCTCATAACATATCTTAGCACGAATAACGACTGGAGCGGTAAGGCCGAGGGGATCGAAATGCTTGGAAACATCGGATAAAATGGAACGTTTCGTTGGATGAATTTTGTTTTCGATGGAAGTGGAGTCAAACTGACACCAAGAGCTTTGATTGGTTTCTCGGGATCGAGTTTCAGGAAAGCTTGAGTTTCAACTTGGGACGGATCGAGATCTTCCAAAACTTGCGCGTTGCTCGGGGACCATTTTCGTAGCTTAAATCAACCTTTCGCCAGTAATTCGTCCAGTTCCTTCCTAGTCTGGATTGCTTCTTCGATGGTTTGGGCGCCTCCTATGTAATCGTCGACGTGAAGTTCTTCAGCAGTGCGGGTCCTCCTAGTGGATAATCCTGTCCTTCGTCTTCGTAAAGTTGCTTGAGGGTACGAGTTTGGATTGCAGGCTTGCAATTGCTCATTACAGCTAAAATGGTATTTTTCGTAATTATGAAACAATGAGATACTATAATGATAATTTCTATTTGTAAGATGCAAGAAGCAATACA